AAGACCTTATTAGTCAGGTATAAATCTTTTTGGGTTCATGTTTTTCCAATTGAAAAGTGCAGGAATGGTTCGAGTTTAACTTCTGTTATTATTGGAAATTCCCATGATAATAGATGCTTGTCAAGGATTCTTCAAGACGCTTGCCACTCCACAAGCTGCTCGAGCATCCTTGGATAGTGCAAAATGCAGATCCTTCGGGCACTTGCAGAGGCTGATTATTATTTCACTTCCTCAAGCCAGCGAGAAAATATTCTCAGCGCTCCTTTAATAGGATGAAATTCTTGTAAAATGTCCCTTGTCTTGTGACTAAAAGATGCCTTGTAATGAATGAGATTCTGAAAACATGAAACATTGCTGCTTGTGTAGCTAAAAATATCAATTTAAATTCTTCTTCGTCTTATGGAAATCGGAGTATTTGACCCCATCTCATAAACCAATCTGCAAGTAAATTTTCTGCCAATCTAGCCCTTGCATTCTTATCATGGATCAGATTGCGCCAATATCAATCCATTTACCATGAAAGCGAGAATTCAGCTGCCAGTTTTCTTCCATTATTAATACGCCGGCTATTAAAGTAAAATATGGGATTTTAATGGATAATAATTTTGCCATCATCCATTTCTCGAATCAATATATTCAAATATCACAATGTGACAAAAAATCCATTTGAAAGAGACTTTTCAAGTACTTGTTTGATATGGTACAAAACCGTAGAACTTCCAATGGCGATGCTATCGCATTATTATTCAAAAATGATACAGACTAGTTTACATGATATCCAAAGACGATACAGAATAATTGTTGCATACATCTAAATAAAACATTTTGGGCTTAATTTCCTCTAATATAAAACATCAAAATCAAATAGTCAGTACCCACAACAGCCGATATATCCTAACAAACCAACCCCCGTAAAATACGAAATGCCGGTGGATTCATTTAGTTTGTTTTCTGATCAGCATCATCCAGCAATTGAGTTGGAGGCACTTCCTCTGTTTTGGCTGCTACGACAGCTTTAGGACCCAAGAAACTTGGTTGATTTGTCGAAGAAAGAAGCCTCGCCCACATCCTGTCAGTTATGACAACCTTGTTTTGCCGTTCAATGATGCGCTGCATGAAAAAATAAAGAAATTATATTCACAAAACAAGAAGTCGAGTGTCTCCAAGATTCATCAACTGATTAAACAATCCATGGAAAAAGATGTTTTTTCCTCTCTTTTTGGTCTTTCAACGATTTATTCTTATTGAACATGTACAATTAGCTGCTGATAAGATACGGATGGATTTCTGGAAATGCTGGGTTGCACTTTTTTTTTCTAACAGATCACGCCAGCTAAATTGTTAATGACTTGAAAAAAGAAGGAAATATTGACTACATTAACAAAGCTAAAAGCTTTATCACAACAAGAGTGTGAAAATGAATCTAAATTATCATTAACATTTGGCATATAGCATTTAAACTGATAATACCTTTTATAAATTTCCAAGTTATGGTTGTGATTATACCTTAAAGTTGGTCCCCCGCACTTCACGCAAGTAAACAATTTATGAATGCACTTGTATATCTATTGCAGGTGATGGGGGCATCATACCCTCTTATGTAAAAATAAATAACTGCACAAAATGCATATAATTTTTCCAGACATTGTGATGTTACAGACTATGGAACAGTAATAGAATTTTTCTGCGGGTGTTTCCTTGTGTTTACTGACTAAAATACAGAAAATAATTCTGTTCATTCAATTGGTGCAAAAAAAAAAAGCATGGAGTTAGTTGAACTAACAAGTTAGTTTAGGAGGACTTGATATTATCGTATTTCCACAATATATAACAATATCTTCTTTTTCTATAGTCAAATGATAGGTTCTTGGGACGTTTATTACACAAGAGTTCAGGTTAAAGATCACTGCTGCCCAAAATTATCTACAAAATAAAACCCTTGACACATCCTCCGAAAACTTCACAGACAAAAACAGCCCACTTTTCTAAAGCACTCTAGAATTTGGCATGACAAGATCACTAGTACTCTATCTGGGCACTTAGTAACACACGAAACTATGGAATTTTAACATCTAAGAAAGATAATTCAATTCTCGAAGATGTTAAATCTCAGAAGCCTGAAACCCGATTTATTATTGATAGGACTTACATTGAAAGGAATGTACGTATGCCGACCATTAACAAGCCCGACTGTGAAGCCTGTGTACCCTGCCATTGCTCCATGAACAGCACTTTGAGCAAGGAGTGTGCAGTATACGTTATCAGATGCATTGCTTGGAATAGCACGAATCATATAAGTTGGATCTGCCAAATAAATTTGTTAGGAACTGTTTTTTTTTTTGGCAAAACATACAATATAGGGATGATAGTACTGACCTATATATTTAAGAGTGATGGGCATTTTTGATAGCTTTGCAAAATGATCCTGTAAAAAATGACAATTTACTTCACGAAGAATTTAGGGTCCGTTTGATTGCAAAGATGGAATTGAATTGAATTGAAAACGAATTCCAGGAAATTGAATTGCCTAAAAATTATTTGGAGGAATTGGCTAATGTGGCCATAGAAGATGGAAAATAAATTCCATTCCAAATTTTGCCAATCCAACACAACATTAGTGGACATAATG